TTGGCCCCCCAAGCCAGCATTGGCAGGACCTTGGTTGATGTTGTTGGTTGCTATGCAGCGACAATATTGGCCATTAGACACCGCCATGTGGGGTTTTGGGAGGGGGGTAGGGGGAGGTGCAGTGACTGGCCATTGCTCGGAGCTAGCACCGCCGATTTCCCCCATCGGCAATGCCTTCGCATGCCTTCCCACCCCTCGTCACCGTGATGAGGGACTGGTACAGCCTTGCTCTCGCACCACTGCTGTGGTGCCAACCTACCCCGTGGGCTGGGGAGAGATCCGGGTATTCCCGCAGACACTTCGGCTAGATGTGAAGCCACTGGGCATTCCTAACCAATTTGGTCGCAGGCCACTGTCTGAACGGGCCTGGGCGCAGACACTTCGGCTAGATGTGAAGCCACTGGGCACACGCTAGGCGCAGCCTAGGCAGCAATTCGGACGAGCACTTTCCATATAGAAAAGAGCTCGCCGCTCCGCAAGATAGCCCGGGCAGAAGTTCGAGCTTAGCTGCTAGCGCCAGTCCAGACACGCCAAGGCGGTCGCGAGGAAGAAGGGCGGTCCAAGCTGGCAGCGCCATAGCCCAGCCCCCATAGCCGGGCTGGGGCTTGGACATGATCAGTGGAGGTGGAGGTGGGCTTCGTGTGTAGTGGAGACGTGGGTGAAGAAGACGAGGGTGAGTGAAGGAGAGATGAAGGGTATGATGTGAGGGCAGGGCACGTACCTGGTCATGGCTGTGGTCTGCAAGGTCGACTGTACTTCGGTTGTTGCTGCTGACGTCAACTGGTTCCTTCGCTGCTGACGTCAACTGGTTCCTTCGCTGCTGACGTCAACTGGTTGCTTCGCTGCTGAGGTCAACTGGTTGCTTCGTCACTTTTGTAGTCTAGCATAGTAGCTGAAGGGTCGTAGCCCGGGCGCTGAGCGCCAATAGGAGGAGCTTCGAAGACATTGTTGGTGGAGGCGAGTGCATGCTTTCATTGACAATTGAGATCGGTGCTTTGGTTCCTTCGGTGTGATATTCGTGCATTTCAGCTTTCTGGACACCATTCGACTATCTGGCTTTCATTGTGATTTTACATTCTGGAATCTTGTCATTTCGCTATCGCTCATTTTTCTTGCATGCGACTGTTCGAGTACTTAAACCAAAATGGACAAGACCGGTAAACAAACCAAGTGGATGAAGAGAAAAGAAAGATATAAGCCATGAAAACAATCCACATACCAACTGGCCTAGCTCAGTTGATACACCCCTGAACGGTTGAAATAACGACCTGAGTTCGAACTTTATTAGAAGCAGATGAGTAAAGTAAAAGACGGCAATTCTCCTGAACACCTCGGGCCGGTCAGTTCGACGATGATATCTCCAGGCCGTCGTCCTTTGTACATGAAAGAAACAGAAAGAAGGGGTGTTGGGGAGGAGGGGGGGGGGGGGGGATCCACATATTGGCCCACGGAAATGACACAAAAAGAGGGAAAAGTGTCCCTCGGGACGTTCGTTAACATTGGAACGATACAGAGAAGTTTAGCATGGCCCCTGCGCAAGGATGACATGCATAAATCGAGAAAAAGAGGGAAAAGTCATAATGTACCAAACAGCGAGTTGCATCGAATCGCTTGTTCTCTTCACCGAATAGAATGCACGGTCTTTATAGATCCATTCCGTACAGCTTTCAGCCTCGTACAGAGGGGTAACGACCGTACGATCTATGCCTCTGTACCAGATTGGAAATTGTCCCAAATAAATCTATGAAGACCGAGCGTTCTACTCCGGGGAGGAAAGCAGGGCCGGACACGGAATATAGGATCACACGAGAGGACAGAAACGAGCATGCCGAGAAATTATGAGAGACGGCCAAGAGAAGGGAGAGGAGAAGAGAAGCTCCGTCGGTTCCAGATTCAAACTGAATATATTTTTATTTTCTTTCAAATCAATAAAAAAAGCTGGGATGCGGGCCTAGCGTTCCTTACAATCGTCATTGCGGCCGAATGGATGAGCAAGGCACATCGGCCGAGCTCATCCCAGGCCGCAGTCGAAGGAAACAGACTCTTACGCCAATCTAAGGTCCTTAGAATATCTTTGTTTTCCTCACAAAGGAAATCAATAAAAGCTGGGGAGCGGGCCCAGCGCCCCTTACAATAGTCATTACGGCTTAAGGGATGAGCACTGGCAAGGCACATGGGCCGAGCTCATCCCAGGCCGCAGTTGACGGGAACAGAATCTTTCACCGAAACTTCTGCATACACTAACAACCAATTTCTCGTGTGTTAATGATTGAACTCTGCTTCTGAGGCGAAAAGGCATTGCAGTTTAACACCTAAAAAAAATAACAATAATAATCATAAAATCATAATAACAATCATATTAAGAAATAGAGTAATAATAATAATGATTTCAAAAAAAGCATTTCCTTGGGCAGTGTCTGCCGTGACAAATGACAGCAACACACTGTCAAACCCCATTTCTTGGGCAATCTCTGGCCTGACGAACGACAGGTAGACATTCTCCATTCGGATTTTATGATGACAAAATAAAACAATACAGCATTATGAATGCGTCCTGACTGCGACTAGAACTGTCAAACCCCTTAACTTTTATACGGCACCAAAAAACAACACACACGAAAATTGAAAAGCACCAGATTCAAAAGAGACAAACGCGTCAACATGTGTCCAACGTTTTATACAGATGTTGGCCGCGACGGAAGCTTCGCCGAGTCTTCGAATTAATACGAGATAAATGGACGAATTCCGAGCGGCGGAATTCACCTATCCTGCACACTTACGACTACGCCAGCTGGAGTGGGAAAAAAAAAAAAAAAAAATGTTTCGCCCAGTGCACTAGAAAAAAAAACAAAGAGGACGATAGCGTCAGCTGCTGCTGCTCCCCACCCCCAACAGTAGCCTGTGGTTGCCTTTAAAACAACGGAAAATAAAATATTTCGTCCCCCGTTGTCACGATCACGACGACTCACGACGACTGCCGTGTCGTTGACGAGCGGCAGCAGAGGAGGAAGACCAACTCGTAGGCAGCGAGCCACGTACGACGTGGCAATAGTGATGGTACATACGTGCATAAAGAAATAAAAAAAAAATAAAATACAATAATAATAAATTTGAGAACGGAAAAAAGAAGGCATAACCCCATCGTCACCGAGGGTGCAAGCGACAACGTCATAGAGAGCAATGAAAATCAGAACAACCCCCACCCCCCAAAAAAAAGTGAAATAAAGTAGAGAGATGTCAATCGGGATCCGAGGATCGGTTCGTCGTCCCCGGGTCCACTCACCACGCTTGCCCCTCCCTCCCTCTCCATCAGTTTATTGTCAACGATAGTTACTGTAGCAAGGAGTGGCAAATCGTCTTTCAGTGAACAAACCAGCCAGCGACAAGTCTTAACCCAGAGTGGCTGAACGGGCGGCATACACAAGGCCCATAAAAAACTATTCTTTTACTCGATCGACGACAGGTGAACAATTCGAATCCTCTCTCCAGCCCACCATCATGTTTCACAGTCCCAATGCTGTCTACAGCATATGATGGACAATCACCCAGAGGGCACTACACACTAAGACGACGCTAAGTATCAATCGAGAATAACTGTACATTTGGATCGGGACACACGCCTTCCAAGGCGCGCCAAGTTGATCGAACGGAATAGAAATACAGAACCATCCAGCCGACCAATCGCACGTGCGCACGAGAGAGGATTGCGTGGCAAAGTCGTACGCACTGTGCATGCTCGGCAATAATACTGCTCCAGTAGACAACAACAGGATCAAATTCTACACACGCCAATGTTGCAAGTGCGCATGCGCATCAGTGCCGAGGCTGTGGCGCCGTACGGCTAGAGAACTGACGGCCGTTGCGCGAATGTAATCGACAGCGAAACAACACGTTGTCTGTTGGGCAAACCCAACACGGCTTGCCACGCAAACGGGCGAAAAAAAAAAAGAAACTACCGATTGCTTGGAAGTCTGCGGAGCGTGAGAACATAGACCGACGGCAAGAGAACACTTCGTCTAGATGTAGCGACTTTCGCAAAAAGCAATATGCATACAGTCCAAAGACAGGCATGTTCTCTCTCTCTCTCTCTCTCTCTCTCTCTCTCTCTCTCTCTCTCCTTCGCCTCCATCTGTTCTATCGGTTCTCTCTTTACCTTCTGCTGATGCAATGTAGCTACGGCTCCGTTCCCCCGATGAGGTATTGAAGCTATATTATGTCGAGAAGAAATCGAGCGCAGCGGATCAACGTTCCGCTCTGTACTAAGTTGTGACCTGCTGCGCACCACGAGAAGTGAAAGAGATCGAAGAGAGCGGTGAAGGGCGTCGCGCCATCTCGACTGAGAGACTGCTTTTTCATGACCGTTCGTGGGAGTCCACGTCCCGAGCAGTTGCATCGCCAAGCAATACATTTATAAATGGTGCTATTGCGTGTTCGATTGCACGAACAGCCCGTACCGAGTAAGGGTGGGCGAAGACGAGAGACAGTGAAAGAGAGAGAGAGAGAGAGAGGGCAAGGTATTTCCGCCGGAATTATACCAAGAAAATCTCGAGCGCGGTTGTAATACCACTCCGACCTCGAAGACGTCGAGCTTACAGCAGCCGGAGAACTCGAGACCGAAGAAATCGAAGTAACACGAAAAAAAAAAAGAAAAAAAAAGTAACACGAGACAAGAGGAAGGAAGGAAGGAAAAGAACCCCTCCGTCTCTAATACCAAATTCCGTCTCCCCTATGAGGCGTTCTCATCTACATTTTCGACCCTCCTCTCTGCCTATGTTGACGATCAATTAATCAAATTAATTAGTCAACAAATGAACCAATGAACCAATCAGTCAGTCAATCAGTCAGTCGATCAGCGAATCAAGAAAACGATTAAAACTCTCAAAAGTCAGTAATCATCAAGCAATCATATTATCATTCCATCCATCAACAGACGGAGCAGTCGTTCTTCACGTTTGCCGCGAAAGCAGGCCTGACGAACACACCGGCAGCCGGCCTAGCAGGGCAGAACACTACGGTGGAATCCTCGACACTCATTTCGTCCATATCTATCCATACGTGTTGCGTAACATACCTTCCTCCTCTCCTGTCTAGCGCGACATTGTGTACAAACGTCGAGCGGCAAAACTTGGCGCCAGGGCTAATGATACCCACGAGAACGGCACCGCCTTTCCCGCCCTTTTTGGTCGCGCGGTTTCCTGAGAACCGACAGCTCGTGAAGACAGCATCCGTTCCGTCGTCATCCGACAGCGCAACGGCGCCGCCATCGCGCGCTCTGTTCATATCAAACACACAGTTCTGACAGAGCAGCGTACTCTCGACGTTATTGATTGCGCCGCCGACGCCTTTCGTGGCCAAGTTGCGCACAAATTTGACGCTCGTCATTGTCAATGTCGCGAAGGAGTCTGCATGAATGGCGCCTCCGCTGCTTGCCCTATTGAGCGAGAACTCGGAGTTGGAGATCGTGATCTCACCCTCGAAGGCAGAGATTACTCCTCCTTGCCCCACGTTCACGTTCCCCGCGAATCGACAGTTCCGGATGGTCGCACCTGCTTGAACGTACAGAACGGGGGCGGAGAACAGAGAGGCAGAGGACCTGCATCTCGTGACTTCCAAATTCTCTAAGTGGACAGAGCTCAGATGAGGACCACGGATGAAACTGTATTTCCCGCCACCATCGATCTTGCAAAGACGCCGGCCGCAGGCCCCAGTGATTGTCAGTGTCTGACAGATCTCAGGGTCGATTATTGGCAGATTGCCAGACAGCAAAACGTCAGAATGAACCACGATAGAACACGACGAATTCGCTGTGGTCACAACTTGCAGAAGATCGGCGTACGTCGTCGCATCGACAGGCATCACGGCCGCCATCGCCACAAAGCACGCCCACATAAAGAGGACAACCATACCCGTCTTCTTCCTTTCCAGCAGCCCGTTGTGCGCCATTGACACGCCCAAGGGGTGTCGCGCCAACCGCACCAACTTCTCTCCTTTTCACCACCACCCTCCTCCTCTTTCTCCCGCTAATTCTCGTGCTGCTGCTGCTCGTGCTTCCACCGGCTCCCCTTTGGATCCGCTGTTGACTTCGCTTTGGTTGCTCTGAGCGCTAGCGACCATCACCCTCGACTCTTCCTCCTATTTACCCCAGGTTGAGAACCAACACGACCCCGCTCTACACCACGCCAAACCTCTCCTGGTCCCTACCCAGCCTCTGCAGTCACCGCCAACTCTCCGCTCCTCGTACCTTCTGTCTGGATCTCGTAAATCCCGACGACCGCTAACTACCGTAGTGGTTCTAGTCGGCAATATTGAGGTTGCAGACGACAGATCAAGCGCCGTCTCCCGTCTTTCTTCTGCTCTTCTAGCTCGCGCACACTAATCTTCCACGTTCTTCCACCCCGAACTGTATACATATACCACCGGCGACTACCCTCTCTCTCTCTCTCTCTCTCTCTCTCTCTCTCTCTCTCTCTCTCTCT